CCCCCCCAAATATATATATATATAAAATTATTTTTTCACAGCTTTATTGAAGTATGACCTCAATAAGATCCACCTGTTTTAATGTATGATTCTGTGATTTTTAATTAAATTTATGTTGAATAACCATCATCACAGACCAGTTTTAGGTTTCCATAACCCCAAAAGAATCTTTGTGACATTTTGTGGTCAGTTCCCATTCCCAACCCAGCCTGAGGCAACCACTAATTTGCTTACTCTATCCGGGTTTGCCTTTTTGGACATTTCATGTAAATGGATTTATATAATATGTAGTTTTGTGTTTGGCATTTTTCGATTAGCACAATGTTTTTGGGGTCCATCCATGTTTTAGCATATGTCAGAAATTAATTCCTTTTTATTGTCCTTTTTATTGTTGAATAGTATTTTATTGTATTGTTATACCACATTTTGTTATCCATTCACCACATAATGGATATTTCAGTTGTTTTCACCTTTTGGTTATTATAAGTAATGCTGACATGAACAATCATGTACAAGTTTTGTATGAACGTGTTTTTATTTCTCTTGAGTACATACCCAAGAGTAGAATTGTTGGGTTGCATGGTAAAATTATATTTAACTTTTTAAGAAACTGCCACAGTTCCATAGTGCCTGAACCATTTTATATTCCTGCCAGTATGAGGTTTCAGTTTCTCCACATCCTTTCAGCAATTGTTCTTTCTTTCTTTCTTTTTTTTGGCGGCTGGCCAAACAGGGATCTGAACCCTTGACCTTGGCTGTAACCAACTGAGCTAACCAGCCAGCCCCTCCAATCCTTGTTCTCATCTGTCTTTTTGATTATAGCCATTCTAGTGAGTGTGAAGTGGTACGTTGTCATGGTTTTAATTTACATTTCCTTCATGACTAGTGATGGTGGTGTCATAATGTGTTTATTAGCCGTTCTTATATCTTCTTTGATGAAATGTGTTCACATAGTCTGCCTGTTTTGTAATTGGGTTGTTTGTCATCTTATTACTGAGTTATAAGAGTTCCTTATACAAGGGTACTTCAAAAAGTTCATGGAAAGATTCTATTATCTTTTAATTCTCTTTTTCCATGAACTTTCTGAAGTATCCTTGTGTGTTCTGGGTCAAGTTCTTTGTCAGAAATATGATTTGCAAATATTTTGTCCAGTCTGTGTCTTGTCATTTCATTTCTTATGGTGACTTTTGAAGTGCAAAAGTTTTCCATTTTATTTTACCACTTTAGTGGGAATGTAGAAACTGTACCATTATTTAGGTCTCTTTACTCTCTCCTTTACATTAATAGCTGTCTTATATATTGCACCGACATATTGAGAACCCATCAGAGAATGTTACAGTTTTTGCTTTTAACCATCAAATAAACTGTAAAGAACTCACGAGAAGCAGAATGGTGTATTATATTTGCTGAGACATCTGCCATCTGTTGTTCTTCATTCTTGATTTTCTAAGTTGCCCTCTGGTATCATGTATCATTTCCCTTCTATCTGAACATTTCCACTAGTAATTCTTTTAGTGCCGATCGGCTGGCCTCAGTTTTTTTTTTTTTTTTTTTTTTCATTAAAAAGTGTTTATTTTGCAGTCACTCCTGATGAATATTTAAGCTAGATACAGAATTCTGGGTTAACAGATCTCTCTTTTCAGCACTTTAAAAATGTTCCACTTCCTTATGGCCTCTATTCTTTCTAATAAGGAATTTTCAGTTACTGGAATTACTATAAGAATACTATATACTATAAGTTCCCTATAAGTGATGTAATGATTTTCTTTGTCTTATTTTGTAGTGGTTTGATTATGATGTGTCTAAGCATGGATTTATTTATGTTTATCCAGTTTGAGCTTCTTGAATATGTGGGCTTATATCTTCTGCCAATTTTAAGGAACATTCAGCCATCATTTCTTGAAACTTTTTTTCCACCATACTCTTTCTTTTTCTTTCTGGGACTTCTGTGACACTGATGTTAGATCCTTTGGTAGTTTGACAGTGTCCTGAGCTCTGTCCATTTTTAAGTCTTTTTCTTTCTGTTCAAAATGGATACTTTCTGTTGATCTGTCTTCAAATCACTGACTCCTCAAAGTATAGCACATGCTATTTAGGGTCAGATTTCTTATTTTTTTTATTTTCAGATGGTATTCTAGATTTTTAAAAGATGTGTGTGTGTGTTTGTGTTTTCTTGTTATCTCAGACTTTGGGATAGAAATCCATCTTGATCCCAAATCCAGTCACCTTCCTGCAGCCTAACTTTGGTTGTGTGGTACACTCCCCTTCCTTTAGGAAATCTGTCATAGCTAACTGTTGGCAACAAGAAGGTGTATAACTGGGTTAACCTCACTTTGCCCCTCCTGCCATTGTAACCTTTAATCTAATCCCTGTCCTGTGCACTATTATCCTGTGACTAAAGGGTTTATACCTCCTCAACCCTAGCAGGATTTTTGTCCTGTATGAGAGCTGCTGCCTCCCAGAATGCATTTGTACCCATCTTTTTTTGTGGAAAACTTTACTAAATTCCTAAAACTCATCTCAAACTTTACCTTTTCCATACAGCTAACTTGATCCTCAACTAGAGTGATGCTCTTCCTGCTTCTTATCCACATTTTACCTTCCCTTCACTTCTGTCTAAGCTGGCATTTTATTTTATTTATAGGTGTACATATTGGCAGATCTCTACAAGACTAAGCAGTTTTCGAGAATATTGTTTTATCTTTTTTTGCTACTACCTCTTTAAGTAATGCCAGATTTGAGGTTCAGTAAATATTCTGTTGGTGGATCAGGGGATTTGAAGTTATCTATTTCAGTTTCATGTGCTGTATAAATGGAAGGATGAAGAATGCACAATGACATTTTATCACACAAAATATGCAAAGGTAGGGACATGGTGGGCACATTGTGTACACCATGTGGTGATAACTGCTTCAGATTCACTAGAATTGTGTTCTCACAGGAGGCGTTCTCATTTGAAGACTTGTCTGTGGATTTTACACAAAAAGAATGGCAACTACTAGATCCCTGTCAGAAAAACTTGTACAAGGATGTCATGTTGGAGAACTATGGAAGCCTTGTGTCACTGGGTAAGAAAAGCTTCCTTGATTGCCTTGGGTTGTGCACAATATATTGCTTTTCTTTTTTTAGTTACTGAGAGCTATAGGCTACTCAAATATTTAATGATTTTTGGACCAAAACTTAGGAGATCAAAGTTTTTTTGGACTGACACCAGGAAAATATTTGGACCTCCCCTTCCATTAATGAAGTTAGGTTTGTTGTGCAGCCTCTGAGTAGTATGTAACTTACCATGTGCCACATACTATCTCAAGGGCTTTACACATATTAACTCATTTAATTATTGAAGCAATCCTTTTGGGTGGGTACAATTATGATCCATTTTTCCTGATGAGAAAGTTGAGGCAAAGAGAGATCAAGTAACTTTCCCCAGAACTGACAGCTTGTAGATGGAAGCATCTGGATTTGAACACAATGGCTGCAGAGCCTTGAAGTGTTGGGTTGTTTTGGACTTGGATTGTAGAGGTCAAAGATTCTTAGACCCTATTAGCCACCAGGGAGACCATTACTCTAACTTTGAGAATTATTTATTCTGTTGAGATACGGCTTGGTCAGACCAACTCTGATGTTAAACCTGGCTCATTCCTTAGAGGCCCTAAAGCCCAAGCAGTTGGGCCCAAGGCCTGTGTGATTTCGCCTGAACAGGGTATGAAATCATGAAACCAGATGTCATCTTGAAATTGGAGCAAGGAGAAGAGCCATGGATAGGAGATGGAGAAATTCCAAGTTCAGACTCTCCAGGTGAGTGTGAGAATGAGGCAGGTGGGAGGAAATACAAGTTGAGGCTCAGCTAGTCAGTGACAGGTCGGTGTCTTTGGAATGTGCTGTAAAGAGTTCTTTTCAAAGTCTTCGAACCTTTGCTGGTGATTCAGAACAATTGACATTAGCTGCTTGGGTGAATTGCATTTAGATGTGGCTTCTTTGTAGCTTAACATGAGATGTATCCCCCTCATCTGAGCCGTGACACTTCCCTGCCTGTCAGATGTAGGACGTTGACTTCTTGTTTGGTCTTCTGTTCCTCCTTCTCCTATGCTCAAAGACACCTTTGCTTGTCCATTCAAGAATTTTGATTTTCCCCTCAATTTGGGTGTCTCTGATGTGCAGAGGACCTCCCTGTGAAGCCTCTCTCTGTTCTCTCATTATCTCCAAAGATGGAACCATTTTCTTCCGAACAATTTATCCTTATCCTCCTTCTTAAATTAGGTTCTGCTGTGCTTTTTCTATAGATTCAGCACCATGGAGTATAAGAATCTCTTTCTACCATCCTTTCTCATTAGTGTTTTTAAGTTTTTTTATTCTTTGGAGAATATCTTTTTAAAGCCTTCTCGCCTCAACTCCCTCTTAAAACCAGGCCCATGACGCCTTATTCCTGAAGTTATCAAATTGCTAGACAGATCCAGATTCTAATCTTTATATGTTATCTTAAATGATACCACCATATTTGATTTCCTAAAGCATCCAGCACTGCTCTGCTCAGTTATTTGCTATGTGACATTGACTTACTTCAGGTTCCCTCAAAAGCAGGCCCTGAGATATGCATCTGAGTGTAAGAATTTACTGGGGATATGGCCCCCACAAATGTGATGGGGAGTGAGAATGGGGAAGTGAGATGGTGGGGTAATGCCAAGGTTCCCTCAAAAGCAGGCCCTGAGATATGCATCTGAGTGTAAGAATTTACTGGGGATATGGTCCCCACAAATGTGATGGGGAGTGAGAATGGGGAAGTGAGATGGTGGGGTAATGCCAGTGAAAGGTGGGCTGATGCTCAGAATGCTGCTGTGGGCATTGGGGCTCAGTTCTGCCAAGAGCCTGGCCAGGCGCTGGTAGAAGATACCTCAGACTTAACCCTCTGAGGAACCAGGAGGCCAGGGTATTTATTCTCCAACTCTCATCTCTCAGTGGTTGAGAATTGTTCCGGGGCATATTAAGTCCCCATAGTGTCCAGAGTCCCTGCACATGGACCACACTTGCACTTGCAGCCTAAGAAAGGTCTTGGGCAAAGAGATGCAGGTCCCTGGGGTAGGTCCTATGTCAAGGAACTGTCTATCAAAGCTACAGGTGTCCTCTGAATTTAGCTAAGGAGTGTGGGTGAGGCAAATGTAGTGTCTGCTGATTTGTAACCTCTTTTTCTAAGGACCTACACAGTATGACACCATATTGCCTGTTTAGTTATTTCCTCCCTTGTCCCCCAAATTCATGGTTGACTCCATTTAAACATTTTTCAGTGTTTTCAGACATGTAATATTTATTCTCTGCATCTGAACTTTTGATGGTGCTATACTAATTATCTAGAAAGTCTTCATTCTTTCTGTGAAAACTCAGTTTTCACTGCATTCATATTCAAGAAGTGTTCTTTGAACATTCCAGCCTAAATTTTTCTCACCTTTCTTTGAAGCCCCATCCCAGACCTGACCACAGTGTATATAATATTTTATTTGGATGTTATCTGATCTTTGCACATGCAGATGCAAGGGATTATAACTTAATACATTCACTTCAGTTATGGAACGTGTAATATTTATTCAATAACTTTATCTCTACAAGCCTGTTTTATACAGGTGTTTTTAGCTAGGGTATGCATCACATTACCTGGAGATTTTTTTCCAACTGCAGACAACATGGATCCAATACCAGAAACTGATTTAGTAGAGTGGTGTATGTTTAGTTTTTTAAATTTGGTATGGTAAGACTGGCATTTGTAATTTGAGAAACTTCTTGTGATTTTTATATGCCCCCTTTAGTTGAGAACCCCCACTTTAACGATTACTGAAAAGGGTTAAAAAGTAAGAAAGCAAAAAATAAGTTCCAGAAGCATAGAACTTAGTTAAGAAGATAAGACAGTTGCATCTGGTTTTTAAAATTTGGCACTTAAACGTTGAGCATTTATGTTTCATTGCAATGCAGTGCAAGGTTAATTGTCATCATTAATTATACAAACGGACTGGGTGTTGGGATCCCCAAGACCACCCTCACTTTGGGAGAGTCACTAGGACTCATGGGGTTAATTGTCATCATTAATTATACAAACGGACTGGGTGTTGGGATCCCCAAGACCACCCTCAAGTCACTAGGACTCATGGTACTCAGCATATAGTTGTACTTAGGCCTAAGATCTATTACAGTGATATAGTAGGGCTCAGACACAGTCTGGAATAATTGCATGCAGATTTCCCATGCTCCTCCCTCCCATGAGGGTCACACAGAGCTTACTCTCCCCCTGCAACAAAATGCAGTAACATGTGTTTGATGTTTCTGCCCAAGGAAGCTCATTGGAAACTCACTAGCATATACCAACATTTCATATTCCCAGAAAGAGAAAGGTGCTAAACATAGATCATATTGTCTGTATACAGTCTGGGCACAGTGAGCAGTTTTTATCAGTTACAGAATGGTGGAAACACTCCTTAAACCCAAATTGTCAGATGCCAGCGAAGGGCCATGCTCACAAGCAGGCCTTCCTATGGGTAGCAGCCTCAGGACTGATGCTGACTCTTCTGCACAGACTGCTTTAGCAGTTCAGAGAAAATTGCATATCTATTGATTTCTTCTACTTTTCAGGTATTGTGCTGGGTGCTCTGGGTACAGTAAGGAGCATTAGAGATACATTTCCTTCCCACGTAGGGCTAACTTTCTAGTGGGAGGATAAGAAAATGAACAAGTTAGCAAATAGTCAAGATAAAATCCAGGCCATGATAAGTGCTGTTAAAGAAATAAATTAGGTGATATAACAGAGAGTGCATTAGTCTGCTCAGGCTGCCATAACAAAATACCATTGACCACGTGGCTTAAACAATGGATATTTATTTTTCACAGTTCTGGAGGCTGGAAGTCCAAGATCAGGGTGCCAACGTGGTCACTTTCTGGTGAGGGCTGTCTTCCTGGCTTGTAGACAGTCACCTTTTCACTCTTTCCTCACACAGCCTTTCCTTGGTGCATGTGTGTGGAGAGAAAGAGCAATCTCTGTGGTGTCTCTTCTTATAAAGACACTAACTCTATAGGATCAGGGTCCCACCCTTCTGACCTCACTTCACCTTAATTACTTCCTTAGAGGCCCCATCTCCAAATAGAGCCACACTGGGAGATAGGGCTTCAAGATACAAATTTTGAGGAAACACAATCAGCTCATAACAGAATAACACAGAGAAGCCAATTCTAGATATGAAGAGTGAAATGAGCACTCTGTGTGAAGAATTGGAAAAAAGTGTCCCGAAAAGGAATGACGAGTATGAATGTGTTAGGGAGAGGCTTAGTGACTTTAAGGAACAGAAACTAAGCCCATGTGGCTGGAGGTCAATGTGCCAGGGAAGTAGAGATGTTGAAGAGAGTGCAGGAACCAGATGATACACCGGCATGCAGGCAGCAGAAAGGAATTACAGGGTATTTGAATAATTTTAAATAAAATTATCTGATTTACACTTTCTAAAGTTTAATCTCACCACAGAGTAGAAAATGTAATTGGAAGCATGGAAACCAATTAGAAGGATATTTCATTGAGATGATAGGATGGATTAGACTACAGCAGAGAGAGTAGGAATATTTCGGATATACCACAAATGACCAGATATAAGGCAATCCCATATTTCTAACAGGAAAAAAGTTAAACTAAAATTTGGAGGAAGTTAGATGAAAATTTCAGATGTGTCCTTAATTAGTTTAATAATGTGATAACATTTAAAGTAACATAATGTATGTTTAATTTACAGGTGCTCCATTTTATTTAATGGAATATCTGTAAATTAATTTTTCAAATTCTTCACATACGTCTCAGAATTAATATGTCTGTAGTGGAGTTTTGATTTTAACCTCTAGACTTCTTTCTCCCTCAGTCTTCCCCAGCTCAGTAATTAACACCAAAATTCACCAATTGCTCAAGCCCCATACCTCTGGATCATTGTTGATGTCCTCCTTTCCCTTATCCTGTCCACAGCAAATGTTGATTCTACCTCCAAAATATCATTTATGACCAACATTGAGTTGTGAGTTTACCACAAATGTATTGTCCTCAATTGACATTTGAATGTGTAAAAAGTTTTCACATTATTATTTTTTTTACCTCTAGGTATGACCTCACAAAAAAAATTCTAAGTATAGGTTCTTATTAAAAAATAGGTTTTTGGGCCGGCCCGGTGGCACACTGGATAGTGCGCCGCTTGGGAAGCGCGGCGGCGCTCCCGCCGAGGGTTCGGATCCCACATACAGCCCGGTTCCCGCTCACTGGCTGAGCGAGGTGCGGGAGCAACGCCGAGGGTTGCGATCCCGTTGCCGGTCCCCGGTCCGGTACGGGGGCAACACTGAGGGTTGCGATCCGTTGCCGGACACAGAAAAAAGACAAAAGAAAAAAAAAAAAAAGAAAAGTGCTCTCCAAGGGCCGGCCCGGTGGCACACTGGATAGTGCGCCGCTTGGGAGTGCGGCAGCGCTCCCGCCGAGGGTTCGGATCCCACATACAGCCCGGTTCCCGCTCACTGGCTGAGCGAGGTGCGGGAGCAACGCCGAGGGTTGCGATCCCGTTGCCGGTCCCCGGTCCGGTACGGGGGCAACACTGAGGGTTGCGATCCGTTGCCGGACACAGAAAAAAGACAAAAGACAAAAAAAAAAAAAGGTTTTTGGGGAGCCCTTTTTTTTTTTTTGTTTTTTGTCTTTTTTTTGTGTCCGGCGACGGATCGCAACCCTCAGTGTTGCCCCCGTACCGGACCGGGGACCGGCAACGGGATCACAACCCTCGGTGTTGCGCCCGCACCTCGCTCAGCCAGTGAGCGGGAACCGGGCTGTATGTGGGATCCGAACCCTCGGCGGGAGCGCTGCCGCACTCCCAAGCGGCGCACTGTAGCAGTGCACCACCGGGCCGGCCCTTGAAGAGCACTTTTAACAATAACATAAGTGGTTATGTTGTGAGGATAATAGAATAGAGCTTTATGATAAATGACCTCAAACTGTCAGAATACTTTCAGACTGGGACCTTGTGTCTTGGGATAGTTCTGTGAAAGTACGCATGGACTTTTAAGTTCTGTGCTGGAACCATGTACGTGAAAGGTGATGTGCTTTGAGAATGTGTTGTACAAAGTGGCTTTCTTGGTAGTGATGTTGGAGATGTATATGGCAACTTCAAATAAACTTTCAGGAAATGTGAGAATGGGGAAAAAAACACAAAATATTTCTCATTCCTTAAGCTTGAAGTTGCTTTAACCAATTACTCTATCAAATGTGTTCATTTTCCACAGTGTATAGTTTTGTCATTTTTAAATATTACCTATTTTTTCTTTATCTTTTCCATTAAAATGTAAGTTTCATAATGGCAGGGGCTTATCAATCTTGTTCTCTTGTATCTCCAGTACCTCACACACTGCCTGGAGCATGATATATACTCAAAAGGTATTGAGAGAATTGATGCCTGAGAATATTGGATCAATGCTGCTTCTGACCTTTCTTTGTTCCTCATTGCTCTTCATATATTTTTCACATTCTCTCCCCATTTAATAAATTTAGGCTTGTCAACAACCAAAGGTAATTTAATCTACAGTTTCCTCTTCCTGTTTTCAGCATTTCTATTATTTTTCAGTACTTAGAGGATAGTTATTATACTTGGGACTTATTTCAGACTAGGAAACTAAACCTTAAAGAGCAGTCAACCCCTCGACATAGCATTTCTAGTGTTTTATTCAGTGAGCACAACCAAACAGGTTTTTTGTTTCCTTTATAGAAGTCTGGCAAGTAGACAATCACATGATGTGGCACCAGGATAACCAAGACAAGCTTAAAAATATGAAAAGAAGTCATGAATATGACATATTTGGAAAAGATTTCGATCAGAGCATGAACTTTGTTCCTCTAAGGAAATCAAACAATGAAGGTGATTTAGATGGATTGATTTTAAAACGTCATTTAGATTTGCTTCTTCCAAAAGCAGATTATGGAACAACAGAATCAGATGACTTTAATGTATTTGATAAACTGTTTCTCCATACCAGGCCTGAGGAAACTGATGCTTGGTTAAAATATTACGAATGTGATAAATATGATAAAGATAGCTATCAAAAGTCACAGATTATCATATATCATAGAACTCGTTTAGGGGAGAGACTTTATGAATGCAGTGAATGTAGGAAACGCTTCAGTAAGAAATCAAGTCTCATTAAACATCAGAGCAGACATATAAGAGAAATAGCCTATGGCTGTGGTAAATGTGGCAAAACCTTTCCTCAGAAGTCACAGTTTATAACACATCACAGAACTCATACAGGAGAGAAGCCTTACGATTGTAACCAGTGTGGGAAAGCCTTCTCCCAAAAGTCACAGCTCACATCCCATCAGAGGACACATACAGGAGAGAAACCATATGAATGTGGTGAATGTGGGAAAGCCTTCTCCCGGAAGTCACATCTCATATCGCACTGGAGGACACACACAGGAGAAAAGCCTTATGGATGCACTGAATGTGGGAGGGCCTTTAGTGAAAAGTCAAATCTCATCAACCATCAGAGAATTCATACAGGAGAGAAACCGTTTGAATGCAGGGAATGTGGGAAAGCCTTCAGCAGGAAGTCACAACTCGTTACACATCACAGGACTCACACAGGTACAAAACCCTTTGGATGTAGTGATTGTAGGAAAGCCTTCTTTGAGAAGTCAGAGCTCATTAGACATCAGACAGTTCATACTGGAGAGAAGCCCTATGAATGCAGTGAATGTAGGAAAGCATTTAGAGAGAGGTCAAGTCTCATTAATCATCAAAGAACCCATACAGGAGAGAAACCCCATGGGTGCATTCAGTGTGGGAAAGCCTTCTCCCAGAAGTCACATCTCATATCACATCAGATGACACACACAGGGGAGAAGCCCTTTGTATGCATTAAATGTGGGAAAGCCTTCAGCAGGAAATCCCAGCTTGTTAGGCATCAGAGAACTCACACAGGAGAAAAACCCTATGAATGCAGTGAATGTGGGAAAGCTTTCAGCGAAAAATTAAGTCTCACTAATCATCAGAGAATTCATACAGGAGAAAAACCCTATGTATGCAGTGAATGTGGGAAAGCCTTTTGTCAGAAGTCACATCTCATATCACACCAGAGAACACATACAGGAGAGAAACCCTATGAGTGCACTGAATGTGGGAAGGCCTTTGGTGAGAAGTCAAGTCTTGCAACTCATCAGAGAACTCATACGGGAGAAAAACCCTATGAATGCAGGGATTGTGAAAAAGCCTTCTCTCAGAAGTCACAGCTAAATACTCACCAGAGAATTCACACGGGAGAGAAACCCTATGAGTGCAGTCTTTGTAAGAAAGCTTTCTTTGAGAAGTCAGAGCTAATTAGACATCAGAGAACTCACACAGGAGAAAAGCCTTATGAATGCAGTGAATGTAGGAAAGCCTTCAGGGAGAAGTCAAGTCTCATTAATCATCAGAGAATACACACAGGAGAGAAACCCTTTGAATGCAGGGAATGTGGCAAAGCCTTCTCTCGGAAGTCACACCTTATACCACATAAGAGGACACATACAGGTGAGAAGCCCTATGGATGCAGTGAATGTAGGAAGGCCTTCTCTCAGAAGTCACAGCTTGTTAATCATCAGAGAATTCATACAGGAGAGAAGCCTTTTCAATGCAGTGAATGTGGGAGGGCCTTCTCACAGAAGTCACAGCTCATTAATCATCAGCGAACTCATGCAGTAAAGAAATCCTAGGAATGCAATTAATACAGTCTTTGGCAGAGATCATACCTCATTGTACTTCAGGAAATGCAATTATGGTAAACTTTTTAGATGACAGTCAAGTTGCATTATATGTCAGAGTACTCCTTTATGGTGGGAACTCAATAAGTAAGGTTATGTAGGGAAAGGTTTCAGCAGGTAAGCCTGCTTATATGTCAGAATTCATAGAGTATAATGAACGTATGAATGCAGTGGCTCTCAAAAACCTGTGAAACCTTAGTTAAGCCTTATAAAGTAGAAAATTCACAGCAAAGAGGAATCTTGTGCATATGGTGGATATCACAAAGCCTTCCAGAGGTCAAATCTCATTAGTTAGAAATATAAGAAATATTCCCACTGGGGATGAGGGAAAGCCCTATGAGGCAATATTTTCATCAAGAAGTGACAGCTCATTGCACATAAAATGCCCTTAGGGTTGAAATTCTGTGAAAATACGAAGTAAGTATGGGATAATCTGCAGGAAGTAACCCAACTATATCATATTTTGGAGAATTCATATTGTGGATAAACCTAATAATTTAAAGACATTGGAAACAGGTGTCCCTAGAAATGATACTATAAAGGGAAGCCATACACTTTTTACAGACATGGGTACCAAAAATACCCAATTCTAAGTAGTTGACAGATGTTAACTCTGAGGCGTGAAGCTTAAAATATATGTGAATAAATTAATCAATGAAACATCTGAGTAAAAAATTTTTTAGTGGCACTTATGGCTTACTTTCCTGTGTCATAATGTGTTTTGTATTTTGGAATTGCATATGATAATTTAATGTAATAGGGAGCATGAAATGCATTTACCTTATAGTGCCTCTGATATCTGTCAAGACACAGTACATATCACTGTTTTAACAATCCTATAAAAATGGAAACTGATATAACATGGCTTATTGCTGAATAAGTAGGTTAAGTAATAATACCACATTTGTTTTTTTCCTTATTGCTTGTTGGCATAGGTGAGGGGTCTGTTACAGACCTCTCTTTCTCTTCAGTTACAAAAACTAACATTTAAAGTTTTATGCTTCCACAGGGTCTGAGAAACAGTTAATATAAAATCCCATTAATAAGTATGCAAAGGCAGGAAACACAGAACATCAATAATGATACATGATACTGAGTGAGCAAAAGAAAAGTGTGAACTGTATTACTCAGCACTCAGACTAAGTGGAGGAACGTAGTGCTGTGCAGAATCTTTATCTTCATTTAGTGAGATGCTCCGTACATTATGTGTACATATATATCTTGTGTTATGTAACCCAAGTACAACTTGTATTTTAATTTACTATGGTGAGTATCATGGATACTTTGTGCTGCTATTATGTTTTTGTTATTTTATAAAATATCTTGTAAGAAATTAGATGGAGCAACCAATTAATAGTCACTGTTCGGAAGATGTAAAATATCGAGAATTTGGTGGGGAAAAATTTTTGACATGTTCATGGAAGCCTATTTTGCCTACCAGCAAATTTCCGTGGTTACTGGACAAGTACAGATGCTCTTTGACTTATGGTGGGGTTATATCCCCATAAACCCATCATAAATTAAAAATATCACAAGTCAAAAATGTATTTAGTACAACTAATCTACTGAATGTCGTAGCTTAGCCCAGCCTACCAGAAACGTACTCAGACACAGCCTACAGTTGGGCAAAATCATCCAACAGAAGGGCTTTTTTATAATAGTGTTGAATATCTCATGTAATTTCTTGAATACTGTACTGAAAGTGAAAAACAATGGTTATATGAAGACTTGAAGTATGGTTTCTACTGAATGTAAAATCATCCAACAGAAGGGCTTTTTTATAATAGTGTTGAATATCTCATGTAATTTCTTGAACACTGTACTGAAAGTGAAAAACAATGGTTATATGAAGACTTGAAGTATGGTTTCTACTGAATGCGTATTGCTTTCACACCATCGTAAAGCAAAAAAAATGTGAGTTGACCATTATGCGTATTGCTTTCACACCATCGTAAAGCAAAAAAAATGTGAGTTGACCATTCTACGTCAGGGACTGTCTGTGTTAGAAAGCAATATTTCCACTATTTCATCATTTGAAATATTTGTGGTTCACTTTCTTATGGGAAACTTACCATTATGTAAGTATGCTTCCCTTTGAAAATGCATGAACCATCCCTTAGCTAAGTTGGAATTTTGTAGTGTTTATAATGTTGCTTGACAAAGTTAATATTTTTTGTATGGTGATGAAATTCAGAAAAGTCCAACATTGAGCTTGATTTGAAACTTAGAAAATCAAAACGACTTCTCTTACGCTCAGATAGTTTATCAGTACAGTGTATCATACCTATGATTCTAACATTATTTTTCCTTTAATTACCAATTTTGCAACATTGTTGGAAAGTCAGGACTTTAAATGAGAGTGATTTTCTAAACTGACGTACCAGAATTTCATCAGCCAAATAATTCTGTCTTTCCCCATGGTAACTTAAAAGCATCCATTTTCCCTATTTTTTATTCATACTCAAATTTATGGACTTCCTACTTTTTTCTTCAATATCTGGAATTCATTTTACCAGGTGAGGGAGACAGACCTTTGTAAATGAACAGTTACAGAGTGGTGTGCTGCTTATTGATCCCCCACCATCTTTTTTGTTTTTCTTCTATCTATCATGATTCTCTTTGCTAACCCCAGGGATTGATTCTTTAGGTCTTGGACCGAGCTCAGGAGTCTGTTGTCTAAAAGTTTTCTAATTTTCCTCACTCCAATTCTGGATTATTCCATTAACTGGAATAATTAGTTAAACCTAATACTTTCTTCACTAAATAATGGAACTGTGGCACTAGCTTACTGATTGAATACCCAAGAGCAAAAAAATTTTTCCTAAGGGTCAGGTGTCAGTCTTCAGGAGGGCTGATGCTGACAACAGAGGGTCTAGATCAGGATATCTGATGTAGGGACCCTACAGCACCTGCTGGGGCTCTCCGTTGTTCTGCAGTGTCATGAGAGCTCTGATTCTGAAGTCAGATTTTTCATGTCCACTACCACAAAAATGTGTCTCCACATTTTCCTTCATTGACTGCTACCACAAACCTTACATCAAGAAGAAAATTTTAGAGTTAGACTGGATTTACTTATGATTTCATGGAGCACACTAAGTCACACTGAGGTAGAATACCAAAGGAGGCCAGTTAGGAAGCATCTGGTTCTTATCCTCTTTCACCACCCAGGTTCTTCCACTGACCTGGAATTGTGAACAATTGTACAAAGGACAATTTACATTGTGTTTTACTAAGTAATGTGGGGTTTTTTTGGTGGTCCAATCTGTGAATTTTGAGATCTGTCCCAAGAGTGCCTTCTGTTTGGCTTCTCCTTGTGGGCTGTGACAGTTATCTTTGGATCCGTATGTTCCTGATGTTTTGGTTTCAAGAACATCACTTGTAGAACCCTGAGATGAAATGAACCCAAAGAATACCAGATTTATCTAACAATTCCTTTAGTAAGTAGAATATAGATCAATAGGCATTTGGAATCTAGATTTGAGACCTCCTCAGTCATTTGATTATTCCAGAAATATATGTTCAGGTTGTCAGTTTCATTGGGCTTAGTCTACAAATATGGTACCAACAAGCTTTCAGCACCTAGTCCTGGCCTAAGTGCTGATAAACATGTCCATGACCCTTGCAGCTGCATGCATTTTTTGCATCTTGCTTTTATTGTTTTTAGTCCATTTTCACATTTATACCTAGTGATTATTTTAAAATGCAGCACTGATTACACACTCCCATGTTGAGATATTATGTGGCTCATCGTGGACTTAAAAGTGTAATACCCTCATTATGGTATATAAGAACTTTTGTGCAAATACAGGCCTATCTATTCAGTCGTTTGTGAACACTGTCTTTCCTCCTATGCAGTATTTCCTGGCCTCCTTGAACTACTTGCAGTTCCTTGAGATTTCTACAGTCTCATCTTGTGCTTTTACAAATATACTGCAACTGAAATGCTCTTGTTCCTTGTTAATGTCTATTCAACCTATATGAACCTGTACATGTATTTCTCGCTGTGATAATATAATCATTGCATGTTTTATCTTTCCCATTAGAAAGTTTCTGCAGAGCTGGGGCTATCTATTTTTTTGGCGCTGTAATTTTAGCAGCTGAAGCTGTATTTACATGTGGGTGCTGTCAGTGGGCTGTGTTTTCTACCACATGGGGAAACACAGTCTACAGTGAGAGAAGAAAGATGCCACGATGGAAGCAAAGTCAAGAAAAGGTCCTGATTGTGTCCCCCATTCCTGGTTTTCTCCAGATCCATCTCTGCCCTTTTCATGCCCAGAGTGTTGAATAATTCTGTGAGATACCCCAAATATCCTTCTAATAAATTCTCATGTTTGCTTTAGCTGGTTCAAGTTGTGTTTGTTACTTAGCAACCCAAATATTCCAACTAACAAAGTAAGTCAGGCTCTGGCATAGGTTAGGTTCTTTGGAAGCAGATACCGAGAAGAAGTTGGGGGTGCAAGATATTTGAGAATCAATAGCTGTGAAATGATGGGAGAATAAATAGGAAAAAATTGAGCAGAGGAAGAAGTCAAATCACTTTCCCAAGCCAGAATGGAGCTCTCGAGTGAGGGTTGCTCATCAGAGTGCCTCCTGTTGGGCCAAGATGATCAGGCCTTTAAACCCAGCATTGTTCAGTCCGAGGGGTGGTTGCCCTGGGGCAGAGGAAGAAGTCAAATCACTTTCCCAAGCCAGAATGGAGCTCTCGAGTGAGGGTTGCTCGTCAGAGTGCCTCCTGTTGGGCCAAGATGATCAGGCCTTTAAACCCAGCATTGTTCAGTCCGAGGGGTGGTTGCCCTGGGAAGGGAGTGGCCTCCGGTGAAGCGGCTCTTTCTAGCTGAGGTCCACTGAACAGGCTGACATCTGGAGGCATCTGCTGATGGCCTTCCCAGCTGCTGGACAGCAAGTCTTTCCTTGAGGAGGGATCTGGGTGTGCAACTCTGTGACCACACAGTCCATCCCTTCCACTGCTTAGATCCCCTTTCCTATGTTACATCTGGGAAGCTGCTGCTCTAGGGTTCTGATGGGGCAGAGACTAAGAAAAGGAAGATGAGCGGATGAACTGCAGCCTCTGCTGCTGTTGCTTTCTCTCCTCTCCTGTTGACTGCATGTCATTCTCACAGTACATTTCCACCTCTCCTGGCATCTGGCTTACCTGGTGGCATGTCCCAGGCTTCATTCCTGACAGTGTGAGCCCTGGTTGCCACACCCTTCTCAGACCCAAGTTGCTATATCTGTCCATTTATCATCCCAGTTGGGCAAGGAAGTCCGTTGGGCAAGGATGTCCATTTATCATCCCAGTTGGGCAAGAGGCACCTAGGTAGATTACGCATGTTCCTTCCTGTCCTGTTGTGTGACAGCAGCCCTACCTCCTGATAATCAGTGTGACATACCCCTGCAAAGACAGCGACTCCTACCTGCTGGTACCAGGACACAAGGAACATATTGTATCTGTAGCTTATCATTTAGAACACTTGGTCTGTCCTCTGGTGAGAAATGTGCCCCCTTTGGGGTCACAATCTCTAATCCTGCAGAGCCCAAAGTTGTGGTTACAGGAGACACAAAGTCCCTGAGGGGGTCATTGGTAGTGGTGGTAGGTGAAACCGTTCCTGCTTCCACACAGTGGTATCCAGACCTGTGTATTCTTCCTCTTTGGGGACACAGCCCCATAGAAAGGTCTTTGGTCCAGTCATATAGTATTT